CTATATATATATAAATATATATATATATATATATGAAATAAAGAATATTAGATACCATATATATTATATTTGTAGAAACGATTGAGCAACACACACGTGAGAGATATCGCGCTATGATTATATGGAGAAAATATTACAATTATATTATTACCTATTATTACACAAAGTGAATACACAACATAGTAATTTGCTAATTGTATCTTTTAATAATTATTGTAGACACATTGATGAAAAAGGTTTTTTTCTTGTTATTAATTATTAATTACCATAGACTTATAAGACAATGAAAAATGTGTTATAAAAAAACGATGCGTTTGCTTGTTTTATATTGTATTCTACCCATTTTCATCGAGCGATTCGCCACGTTCTAATTGTTGTGTTATCTAACGCAAACATAATTTATATGTAATTTTTTATATTATTTTCATTTTATCTTCAAATGTGATTATACATCGCAGCTTGTTTATGCAGCGTTTATTCAATCAACATTTCCAGATGTGTCGGAAACATAATTGCCGCGTTAAAAAATTATAAAAGCAATCGCGATTTGCTGAGATAATAGCAAGTTATTTGTTTGTTATTAAAATTATTATTCGGTATATAATATAAAAATTCAATTTTATTTTTTCGCGTGAAATATTTTTTTAATTGTAATTTATCGTTTGTTTTATTCGCAACGCGCAAAAAAAAACGATACCATATATATTATACGAATCATAAATGAATCCTCTCATTTTCAGGCTTCATATGAAAATCGCATTAAGACAATGCATTTTTTTGGCTGAATCAATTTTTATTCACATTCAGAGTAATATCATATGTTTATATTCATTTTATATATCAGCCACCTCTCTTGGACGATGATATCCGATCAAAGGAGAAGACGTATTGATAAGATTTTTGCATCCTGTACGATTTTTTATAATTGAAAAATATGTCACACATATGAAATGGAATGATTTTGCGAATGGCAAGTCCTTTGTATATATATCATAAGAATTATTCATGCGGATAATCTATGTACGGACCTGTTAACCTTTCAGATCAGATGTTATCGAGAATCGATGAATTCAGTCTCTATTTTGCAATTCTATTAAAGAAAACGTAATAATTATTCACGTAATATATTTTTTATAAAATTAGGTGTTGTTCCAAAAACTATATTCTAGCAACAACTGTATCAGCATAAAAAATTTGCGAAAATAACTT